AACCAATTATCAATTAATATACTCGTAACGAGTATATACATTGCGTGTATCATCGACTACATTACTCGAGCATAAATTATGTCTACCCACGCGAATATGCGTGAAATTTTTGTCCATTTCTACACGTATATCCGTTTCCTCCTCGACGATAGAAGTTATTTTTAAATTTTCGAAACTTAGCTACGCCGCTCCCACGTGCGAGTGTCTGTACGATCGGATGTCAGTAGGAATTCAGAAATATAAATAGACGATTGAAGTTGGCAAGATGTTTTCTTTGACAATACCCCTATGCCCATATTTGGAAAAAATTTACCTTTTCTTTTTTTTCTACCTTATAAATCGCGAATAATAATCGCATATTCCACTCCTTGAAAACAATTGTAAAAATAAATGCGGTGTAAATAAATAATCAAATCTTTATTCTTTGATAAGAAATATATATAGACTATTATCAAGGTTAATTACTTGCTTGCATCTTTATATATATATATATATATATATATATTTCTATATTTTTATTGTACTTTAAAAGTGATATATTTACAATTTAATATTCTTAAACTTAAGAAGAAGTATTTTTTATTTACAGTTTTTGATTATAAATGTTTTGTATTTAATTTATATATATACATATATATCAATAAGTAACATTTTATCATATCTATGAGACAGTTTAGTGTCATGTATCATAAACGTATATATAACAGAACGAATGTTTCATAGAAAAGGTATTTCGAAACGCAGATTGCGCCACTTGACGAAACTTTTTTTTACATATCTTTTCAAAATTTGACTCATTGTATGAATAAATATGGAAAATATAAATAGTTATAGATTATAGAAATGAATTAGAACTTTATTCTTATTTATATATTGTTCGAAAAAAAATAATCTATTATCTATCTTTTACATAAATAAAGATAAGGAAAGTTTTCAAAATCTTACGAATATTTTTTGCAATCGGTATCATTATCAGTATCATTTATTCTCGTATACCAAGAAAATGACGTATTCGCTCGTTATTTTCAATGAATCATTCACTGGACAGAAAATATGATTACATAATATCTCGCAATAAACTATAATTCTTTTTTGCATATCGACAATATGAAATATAAAATAAATGTTTTTTGAATTCATTGTTATGAATAAATTCCTATATTAAATATTATACTATTTAATACTATTGTTATTAAATATTATTAATTTAACATAAATATTGTTAAATGTTATGAAATATTATTAATTAAATACTAATATGAATTTTTTAAAGAGTGATATACCAAAAAAATAATAATGAAATAAATAACATTATTAAAAAATTTAACATTATTAAAAAAAATAGGAAATAAAATATAAAAGATTAAAGAAATTGCATTATAATATCGTTGGTTAATTATCGTATTGTAACAAATCTAAAACTGTAACGAAACGATTTTATTATGTTTCCCATTAAATAATGAACAAGTTTAAAAATTAAAAAAAAAAACTAACTATATTAAAAATTTTTAAATTTATATTATAAAATATTGAAAAGTTCAATTTTATACGCATATTAAACGTTACATAAAGATGTTGTAAGATTGTATAACTCCATTATATTGCCTACGAAATAAAAGAATAAACCTACTGCATAGGAAGATACATATGTACATGTACATCTGGAAGCATTACTATTGTATGTCCCGGAACAATATCATTCAATGTACTATGTAATATATATCGTACAATCTGTTGTTTTTCAACTTGTCTTTTTCTTGTTGTCTCGTTTAATGATATAATTTTTTCAATGATTTGATTTTTTTTTTGATGTCTTTAATTTTTAATCTTTAATCATTTTATAATCAAAGAAATTTTATCACGTTTAAAAAATAAATTAATATTTATAAAATTAATGTTTATCAGCGTATATTAAAATTTTATTAAAAAATAATTAAGATATTAAAATATTATTAATATTTCTTTATTATATATATTCTTAAGAAATTTAAAAATATAAATAAAATATAATAAAAATATAATTTAAAAATATAATTTACTTTTATATATACTATAAGCATATTTCTTTATTCATAACAATCAAATATTGGATTGCTGTACATAGATGTATCTGTATTACTTCGAAATGTTAGATGCATTAAATTTATTAAACGAAACATTAATTTATCTAAATGATTTTAAATAAATGTTCTAATAAAAGAAAAAAATATTGCTTTATATTATCTTTTGGATTAAGAGTTATGGCATTAAATCAAGAATAACAAATGTGCATCCCTATACGCATCAACTTAACATTCTGTGGTTGAGTATCCCCATCTTTATTTCAATTCCATGCTCACACACATGCATGCATCCTAGGACTACCTACCTATACATATATGTATATGAATCTCTGGTACGCCTGTTGTTGCTGCGTAACCGTAATCTCAAACCCAGCGTTTTATCCTCCTAAAAACTTTAGTTTCACCGTTTATTACTGACAATAATTTTTTGTGAATTTATAAAAAATAAATTAAATATTATTTTCCAAAATTTATAATATTATTAATGATATGGTAAAAAGAATAAATAATACATGAAAAAATAATATATTGTTTCACAAATGATCGATATGGTGGAGGCGCTGGGTTCGAGGCTATAGTCGGGAAGCCGTATGCGCATGTCACTTCACTTGGACGATCTCTTTCTGTTGTGGCATCTGGAGGTGAGTGGTTGTTCGTGGTTTACGC